TTTTTGGGGACTGCTTATTCGTTTCACTTCCATGGGTTTGGTGAATATCAAAGTATTGATTTAGGAAAAGTTATCAGTTAGATAATGCTTCGGGAATTTAGTGTCCATTAATTTTTTCTGGAAACAAAATTGTTCTCCAAAATCATACTTTTAGTAAAGATTAATTTTCGCAATCAACACTTCTGAGTGAGGTTATTATTGCAAATCCTGCAACTCACTTTATAATTACATGGCACGACCAGCTCTGAAAATCAGTGGCCCGACAAACAGTGACGTTTTTTATAACTACAATTTGCCAACTCACAGAGAATCAGAAAACGCCACCTGATAGCTTGCATGTTGCTGCAATCTCTAAAAGTTTATAACTCGTGGTAATTACCTGTCTTAATCAGACTAAACAGCTCTAGTGCAATAATAACATAGTTTAGATAACACATAACTGACTAAATACGATAGGCCTTTATTTCTTTATCTCACTTATCATGGGTCTCTTCGGAGGTTTGTACATGTATATATGTATGCATATATATATATATATATATATATATATATATATATATATATATATATATATATATATATACATATAGATAGATAGATAGATAGATAGATAGATAGATAGATAGATAGATAGATAGATAGATAGACAGATAGATAGATAGATAGATAAATATTACTTATTACTTATTTGTTTATCTATATATATATATATATATATATATATATATATATATATATATATATATATATATATATATATATATATATATATATATGTATATATATATATATATATATATATATGTATATATATATATATATATATATATATATATATATATATATGTATATATATATATATATATATATATATATATATATATATATATATATAAATATATATATATATGTGTGTGTGTGTGTGTGTGTGTGTGTGTGTGTGTGTGTGTGTGTGTGTGTGTGTGTGTGTGTGTGTGTGTGTGTGTGTGTGTTTTATTCTAACTCGTAGTTTACAACATAAATTTAGTCATGTACCCTGCAGATTCTGCTTTAATGTACGGTAAAGAGTAGATGCTAAGAGCCAAAATTGGCCTTCAGCCTCAGGGGAATCGATGCTCCGATTTTCCTTCACTGTTTTACTCCCTTGATGTTTTTATTGGAAACCCTGGTGTCATAAGTGCCCGCCAGAGCCGCGCCCTCCCCTTGAGCCCGCAGCCCTGACGGCCCTTAAAGCGCCTCCGCCCCTCCCCCAGGATGTTCCTGAGCAGCCCGGCGCTCGAGAAGACCAAGACCAACTCCTCCTCCAACAGCAACACCAGGACGAAGCGCAGCCTCTTCAGCCGGGGACTCAAGCGGCGCCGCACGAGGTCCAGCAACGGCAGCGATGAGGGCGGCCTTACCAATGCCCACGCTCCCGCCCACGCCCGCGTCGTCACCACAGCCCTTTATGGAGACTATCCCAACAGTATCAGCAAGGATCACATACCGAAGGTAGTTACAAACAAACAAGCAAACACACAGACATACACACACACACACACACACACACACACACACACACACACACACACACACACACACACACACACACACACACACACACACACACACACACACACGCACACGCACACGCACACGCACACGCACACACACACACACACACAAACACACACATACTCAAAGACCCTGTCCTCTAGAAACACATGTATAATTTATTCGAGATCCGGCCTGTCACCCTTTCTATCACGAATCCTAGAAAGCAAACGGGGAACCCCAAGCCCAGGCCGTCTCCCGGCCGCCTGAACTACACTCTTCCCTTCCTCTCCCCTCTTCCAGGGCGACACAATCCGCCTGACGGTGGAAGGTATGGCGGAGGAGGTGAAGGAGGCGGGGCCCGGCGACTACTCCAGCGCAGAGGACCTCCATAATCTCAACATCGGCTGGCGGGAGTATAATAATGACAACAACTCCTTCAGGAGGACCAACTCAAATAGGTAGGTCTTCTTAGATGGCCACTGCATTTCCTTATGACTTCATAGCAAATTCATACTTTGGAATCAAAAAGATTTATGAGAAAAAAAATCTAGTATTCTATTCTGCCACCAACATTTATTTTTACTTTTATATGTACACTTTTTATTACATATGATAAATTTAACAAATATCAAGATAATACCGCTGTTCCTATTGCTGTTGCCTGATCCCGGTTCGTCACTCCAGTCGGTCCTTTTCCTTTCCCGACAGCGCCTACAGCCCCAACCTGGCTGCCCTGGGCACCAACCGCGCACAGGAGGAGATCGTGCGGGCGCTGAAGATCCTCCTGAGCCGTCAGGAAAGCCAAGACGCCGACAAAAAGCGCCTCAATGAGTGGCGCGTCATTGCCATCGCGGTCGACCGCATCCTCTTCTGGATCTTCTTCTTCGTCACCACCGTCAGCTCGCTGGTCTTCCTGGTGATCCTGCCGGTCGTCAAGCGCTCAGAATACGTCCGCAATACCTGA